AGTTAGGTGTTATTATCATTTGCTTTTACCACTAAACTTCAAAATTAATAAGTAGTACCTGTATAGCATTTTACTGTACGGATGTTAAGAATTTTGAAATGCGTCATTAAAAATCAAAGCACATAGGGGTGAAAATCAAGTCCTGTACGGTACAGGTAATGCATGGCAGGCCCACATTCTTAAACCCTTTGTGGTGCTTCCTGAAAGATGTGTTATGATGACTTGGTTAAACAATGCTATAAAAGTTATAAAAAGTATTTCAGAGCTGCTAGTATGAGAAATTACATCTTGTAACTGATGTGTTTTATGATGAGTGTGGTATACAGTACAGTACAGGCATCCCCCGCTTTACGGAATTTTGCTCTTACGGAATTTGTAAATTATGACCAATAATTTCGCGTTACGGCCCTTAAATCTGCCCTTACGGAAATTGGGGTAAATTTTAACAAACACAAGGCCTCACACATGCCATTCAGACTGACAGACTTGACAAGTTTTACCAACCATAAAGACAGTTGAAGCTTTAAACATCACTCACAATGGATCTTGAATATTCCAACTGTAATCAGACATACCTAAGTTGCCTCAACAATTTCAACCCCAATTGCAATATCAAATTCTGTGTCACTACTAAAAAATATTAGTCTCTGGTGCACTCTTAAGATTAAGAGAAAACGGACGACTCAGGCGTCCTGAAGTGAGAGAAAACGGTCTCCTATGACGGGGCACTCAAATAAACATACACATAGCTGTATAATGCAATATTATGCAATATTAACCCCTAAATTGGTGTTTTAAGAAGGTATATCATAAATTATTTAATGTACTGTATTGTATGTGTTTATAAATGTTTATTTTCATTAATAAAAGTGCTTGAATTACTTTTTTGGAGCCGAAAAAATTCCTTAGGAACGCATCTCCAGTTTTGTAATGGAAGTCAATGGGAAAATTGGTTTCGCGATACGGTCAATTTTCCGGGAACGGAACCCTTCCGTAACGCGGGGGATACCTGTCTATGAAAGTTGGCTTTAGTGAGTAGAAGAATCCTAAGCAAAGATGGCACATAGGCTTTGAGTGAGAACATCACACCAACTTCCAACATATCATCCTCCCTTACTGTGCCATATTTATATGTAAAAAATACAGTAACGCATAGATGATGTACAGAAAGTAGTTCTATATTATATAAACAGCTCCTTCTCTTCTCATAATTTTGTGGGTTACACCAACACAACATCGAGACAGACAGGTAATCTCTCTGTTAGCCGGAATCTGACAAATTTCTCCATTCTGGGTATTCCAACCGAATTTTCGAGGATTGCATCATGCACATTTTCAAATGAATTTCCGAGAGACTGTATATGTTTCTAACACGTGGACGAATGCCAGGCTTCGTAGGGTCAGATTGCTCGTGAGCTACGATTGGCCACTACTGGCATGTGACTGCATGGGATGCCTATGGCTGGCTGATGTATCTTGCAACCTATCTCCTCAAACTTTAGCATCATGATAGTACTTATTTCATTGTCTGCTGCCATTATACAAGCTTGTTCACATGCTCACTGCTGTTTTCACAATCTGTGTTGTACATTACTGTACTGCATTAGCATATACTCTACTGTAATCAGCCAAGAATTCTGTTAAAGCAGTGTTAAGACATACAAAGTTATTACAGTTACAGTAAACCCTCAAAAACTTGGCACATATGGGGCTCTGGCCTTGCTGAGTTATCCCAAATTCCGACATATCAAGGCACTTCCCCCCCTCCTACAAAAATACAGCAATAAAAAATTATCGACCCCTACATGTGTACATGTAATTTCTAAATGTAAAAAAGTAACACTTACTAGCACTACAGGCAAAGAATGAAGCATCATAGTACTGTACTGTAGGTGACAGATGCATGGTAGGTGACACAGAGACATGGTAGATGACATAAGAGGTATGGTAGGTGACAGAGGTATGGTAGATGACATAAGAGGTATGGTAGGCGACACAGAGGTATGGTAGGTGACACAGGTTTGGGAGGTGATGCAGGTGGCCAGATATGCTGAGATTTTACCAGATAATTTTATATATCTAGGCATTTCCCAAGCTATACTAATACTTTCTGAGACCATATCTATGCCGAGTTATCAAATGCTGAGTTTATCGAGGGTTTACTGTATGTATGCTGTACTGTACTGTACATTTATTAAGTATGAAAGTACCTTATATACTGTACTGTACATAGCAGAGTGGACAGTGTATTCCTACTGTAGGCTGGCATATAGAGGGTGTATATACTGTACAGTATACAGTGCATGTACAACCCCTTCGTCATGGAGGGAAAGGAGAGTGACCTTAACACCTGCTACAGTAGATGGTCCAAGACAAAGGCAGGTCATACTTTATCATTACTGTATACTGTACCACCATTTGGCCTGCCTGCATCACAAGCTTATGATCACAGTATCTGCTGGTGAATACAGTGCACTGTATATACTGTTTTAATGTTTTTTTTTTTTTACAATGTATTTTACATGTACAGTAGTGTGCATAAATAAATACAGCTCTGTGTCTGTCTGACTGCAGTTAAGCCTCTGTAGCAGTGGTGCTTCATGTGAGATTTATTGTTTAGATGTGGAAACATTCACTAGTGCAACTAGTGCACTGAAGAATTCCATAGATGTGCAATTTTTTCTGGGGATAAGGAAATTTGCCTGAACACCCACAAATCTCTCAAACCTGAAAACACACTGCATTAATTGTTTCAGCTAATGGGGAGATTACTGTATGTATAACAAAATTAAAATTTTCAGATATACTGTATTGTACATTTCTGTATTACTCAAATTGTTTTTCATATCCAGGTCTTGTGCCAGTTGCCTCCAACACATAATCATAACCAAATTTTTACATTTTGTGGCCCAATGGAGACATCACTTAACAATGCACTAAGAATTTGCAATACTAGTTGGACATCAATGAAAGTGCAAGCTCCAGCTCTTGCAGAAATATCACCATGAGAGGAGTCATTGGTGTGGCCATGGTATAAATCTCCTTAGGAATTCCTCTTGTAATGACTATAGTAAAATAGTCATCCTTCTTTTTTTGGCAATAGGTAATGTGTGTGTTTAAAAAAAAAATAAAAAATACTGTACATGATAAATCTCTCTAAGCACTTAATATAACCTAATTAAAAAATAATGCTTTAATTCAAGGATTCTGAAGTTCATATGAGATGTGGATTGGGATATCTTGATGTTTGCTATGGCAGAGATACTTATTATTATTAGCTACATTTTTTTGGCTTCAAGTACTGTAGTGTCTACTTGTATTTAACTTTCTGGGTAATATGGCCATAAATAATATTCAGTTTGGATATACAGCACGTGTAATCCATTAGTACTGTAAGCTTCTTAAAAATCATGATGTGAGTTCCATCTTGAAGAAATTCATATGCAAATTCCCTGTTATCACATTAAGTATTGGAAAACATGCTGGATCATTTTTTCATAATTTATTTCATCACCTTCATTTCTAATTAAGATGTATCAAAATCTTCAGTGAGAAGATCAATGTTTAATAATACTGGCACACACTGATCTGCATGAATATAATGCATGTATCAGGGTATTTAATTACAGAATTGCAGAGATATGTTTTTCCAGTCATTGCCTGGACATGAGTGAGGTTTTAGGTTGAGAAAAAATTTACCTTAATGTCGTTTAGGAGGCTGGAGGCATTTGATAAAATACGGTACTCAGATCTGGCACCACCTGGAAAATTTCAGACAGGCTACAGGCTTCATGGCCATGACATGTCACCATTGCCTTCACCAGCTACAGATCACAGAGGAAAGTCAGTCCACTTATGCAGTTGGTTTTATCATTTTAAATGGAATGATATTTTGTTGGAGCTGCCTGAGGAGATTTAGCCTCACACTGTTTAAGTACGTCAATTTGAGGGTTTAGATTCCTTGATAGCCCTATTAAGTGTAACATCCATCATACTGTAGACAAGGGGCAAAAACTTTCTTTCATATCATTAATAATTTGTTATGAGTTGAAAACTAATGAAGTGGCATTATAAAGTACTTAGTAGTGGGGTTAGCCACAAGCACAGCTAACTTTAATGCATTGTGATGGGTGAGGTTTTTAACCAACTTACAACAAAGTCCTCAGTTGTTTATTATGGTACATGTATTTTATTATTCTGATAGGATCTCACAAGTGTGTGTGTACATACAGTACATACATACATGCATACATACATACATACCGGTACATACATACATACATGTACATACATACAGTATATAAAATGATGAACTGTAAGCAAGATATAAGAAATGGTATTTTTGAAGCATGGAATCCCCTTTTCAGCTGAGAGGATGAGATGAGTGACCTTCCTGGCAGGAATTTTTAGGATTTAAAGCATGCAACCCTCTTTATAGTCATAGTGATTCAGGATAAGAGTGAATTTTTCTCGGGATACAACCCACTGAATTAAAAGCCTCATTAGCTCTCAAAGCAACCATAGGGCTGTAAGTTCAGAACATTGCTTCAATCCTGGTTCATTGGGTAAAGAACTATACATGGTGATCTGTCTTGGCAAGTGTAGCCATTGGCTAGAATATATGGAGCTCCTTGACTGTGGCAGGTTTTGTTAGAGTGGAAGTGTCTTAGAGGTCACACGTCTCCTCCAATGGAATTTCATGGTTCAATCCTTCCTTTATGATTATTGACTTGACATGAGGATTGGGTCATAAACTGGGTTAATTAATATCCAATCTTTTAAATTATTATTTTTCACTCATAAATGTATGATTAAATCAAGTACCTGTATTCTAAGCTTTTCATTCTTTGTCTGACCCTATAAAGAGAGAGAGAGAGAAAAATGTTGAAGGTACATAAGGCATGTTGATGGTATGGAAATTCATTTATCTGTCTGCTCTAGCAAACTACGCAAGATTTGGTGGAGTTAGTAAAATTACAAAAAAACTTTTGCGCTTGCAGAGGGCACTAAGTCAAACGATTCTTGGTGCGTAGGGGAAGTTGACCCCGGGAAACGACTCGTCTTTAGGAAATCCCTCTCTTGTAAGTACCCTGTACAGTGGTGTGGAGTGTGTTGTACATATTCCTCCTGGTTTAGGAACCTCCATACATTAGTGCACAGTGCAAGGTGTTTGTACCACCTGGTGGGCTAGTTTGTGCTACAGAGGTGAATGTGATTTTCTGGTACAGGGACAACTTTTGTGTCCAATTTTTCCTCATGTAGCTTGTCTTGTGAAGGTCTTTAATGTTATTGTGTACAGGGCCCTAATCTGTGATATATAAAATGGTTTTAAAAACATGAATTTTAGCTTCTTTTTTTTATGTGGCCATACAGGGTATGGTATTCAATCAAATTGATGTAGCAGATGTTTGACTTATGAGTAGCAGATATTCTTTTGGTGAAGATAACCAAGAGTGAAACTGAATTTTAGTTGTAAAGTATATGAAATGGTACCTATGACTGCCTAATATGTAAAGGTAATTCACTGATCAGATTTGGAATCATAACACAAGTATCAGAGAGGTATAATTGAGAATAAAGGAAGAAGTAAATAATATTTTGTGTAATAAGGACAAGGGGTAAAAATTTTAAGATTTTATAAGTCATGTTGCTCTTTTCTTTTTCTTATTTTTTCTTTATTTATGTAGTTAAAAACCATTCACTGATGCTGAATGACTTTACTGCAGATTCAGGCAAAACCTTTCAGTCAGACAACACTTATAATGCAGGCTACTTACAGGGGATGCAGAGTGTTTTCATTATCACTCCCAATATGTTAGCTTGGGTTTATATGTTCACATCTAGTGGCACTAACTGAAGGAGATCACGTGCAAAGGTTGTCCTCATGAGGCAGGAGGGCTTTTAGAGTGGTGTCTTTATTATCAGCACTCTTCCTACAAAGCTACAGTCCATCGTTATGATTTCAGGTTTTATTTCCTAGTTGAATGTCATAGAAAAGGGTACTAGCTTCAGGCTGATTTTACGCTGTCATTCTTATTTTATGACAAAAAGCCGAGTGTTTTGCCTGATTACAATACATTAGGAATTGTTGGCAGTAACTACCACAGTTCTTAATGTTACGATAATCATGAAAGTGAGACCAATATTATGTCTTGTGTATTTTCCTTAAGGTTTCTTGGTGTTCCTTACTGTTCATCCAGTGTCTAGGATAGCATATACAGTAGGGTGGCTAACCTTTTTGGACCCATGCCTTGTGATATAGAATTTCATATCTTGCTGTGTGTCACTCCACATAATGTTTGTTTTTTGCCTTGCAAAGAATGAGTCTTGCCCCAGTGATAGTCATTTCTGACATGAAGGAGCTCATGGATGCAGGATAGTTATGAGTCCACTACTAGTTTGAGGTGCTTATTGGACAACCAAGCTCTGGTTTGGAAGTGAATATATTTGTCAAATCTCCCAATTTATTTTATTGGGAAAATGAGTATGCTTTACTTTCATTTTCATTGTGTAATCATTTCTGAATTCTTCAGAGGGTCTGCAGCTAGATGAAGTATGTTGGATTGGTCAGTGATGTGCATTTTCAGTTGGTGAATTTTTTAACTTCTGTAGTTGGTTGTCTGAGTTACCCAATGCAACTGTCTTGTGTCTGTGGAACCATGTTACAAATGGTAGCAACGTCTGTTCACCCTTATTAGAAACTGCTGTCATTGGGTTTAACGGGTGGCTCATAAACCTTATGATTTGAAATTTTTTATCCAATTCAGTACACCTTCAACATTGACCTTATTATTTTTCTAATGTAAAGTCTTATTGTTCTTGTTTTTAACTAGAATTCTAATTAAGTGATTTATTGGAGATGAAGTGTGTGGTACTTGGTGCAGGTTAGTCTTGTTCTATTCTGTTGGTGCTGAATGGTTTCAGACAATCCAGTATTCTTAAAAAGAGGCATTGTATGTTTTGGTGAATGTTTAGCAGTACTGAGATCCTTTGGTAACAGTAAGGACAATGCCAACAGTGAGTGAGAATAACGGAGTTGATTTTCTTGAGGTAGTATATCTTTTTATGTGTTATGTTTAGTGTGATTAATTTGTTTACTTTACTTTAATGTTAGGGTTTGCATTGTAGAATTCCTGAGCCTCATAGGACAGGCTTGTAACTTTTCTCACACTTTACCTGCCTTTAGCTGGTCTCCAGGACTTCTCTTTACCATTTGGCATAACACTATATCCTATCCAATGAAGAGAATTAGAGTAGACCTTGCTTCTTATTTCCCCCTCGATTGGTCCCACAACCACTTAAGTAGTGGTCTGCCCACCCAGGGTAGACTTTCACATTTCCTTGGTCTTCTAAGCTACTTCAGAAAGATTGTAAGTTGGACATTGCTGTTTCATAAGGCATTGACGACTCAAAGTAATTATTTTTCTGAGTAGTTGAACAAATCTATTTATAATCAGAAGGTGTGGTTGGTCCTTAGAGTTCTTTTGTATAACAGAAAGTAACCATTGAGAATTTCACAAAATCACTAGGAGTTACTGTGGATCTAATTTGTATGAAAAGGACCTTATGTACTGACTACTCTGTCTGTACATGATGTGGTTAATTTTACTAAGGGATACTAGTGAAGGGTTGGTAGGCCTTCCATATGAGAAATGTTATACCGTTATACCTTGCATGGTGAACTTCACTCCTTTCTGAGAGGTGTTTATCATGGACAGTTGGTAAACTGGTCCTTGTTCTATTTGTGAAGCTGGATTTTTCTCATTTGGAAACTGGTAGTGTTTCAGCATAACCAATTTGTGGAAGTTACATAAGGACAATGTTCTCCTTTTCCCCACTGAGTTTTTGTTCTGCAGTGTAGGAATGTTGACCTGTTGTCTTCCAGTGTTCCTTGGTTGCCTTTATAATGTAAATTATTGGTGTGAATCAATGCATCTGACCTTGGCTGTGAGTATCATTCCATCAATGGGAGTGGTCCTATACCTTTTAAAATATCCACATTAACTTGAAATTTTTGGGGGGTTCCTTCTTTCTTCCTCCAGGGTGTGGGTGAATCTTTTTGCACTTGTTTGCAGACAACTTGTCTGCAGTTACATGTACAGTATAGGGGTATTAGTGAAGTGGTCATCAAAATATCCTACCGTTTAGGAAATTTCCACAGTTGCGTTTTATGCTGCAGCTATTTTTATGCTTTACCACATTGGCAAAACAGTGATAATTCATGTAGATTTTTAATTTTGGGATTTGCTTCTGGGTGTAGATTGATTGGGTGACTTATTTATTATGGATGAATAAGAAACTACAAGTTTTATTTAGCTTGTCCCACAGGATGGTGCGCATGACATGGGTAATTTCATCATGGGCTGGTTTTATTTGGTACAGTTTTCTATGTTCTCTTACTTTTCCTGTTTAGTTCAGGTCATAAAGAAACGTTGTCATGATGAGAACTATTCGGAAGGCCTGCCTTAAGAGGACAACCTTTGTGCCTGATCTCTCCCTTTGGAGCTGATGAAGGTGATAGGGAAAGTACGGTGATACCCAGAATGGGTTAAGAGCTCAGCCCGTTCTTACATAATGGGGAGTGTTCAAGAGGCCTAGTACCCCTATTAAGTAGTCTGTATTATAGAGAGCCAACTGGATATGAGCTCTGCCAGAAAATAGGATTTCAGGATCAGTTAACTATTAATAAGGAATTTTTACAATTTGGGGCATGGTGATACTGTATAATACATAAAACACAAACTTTGAGTTACATTGGTATCTCATACAGGTATTGGCTTCCTTCTTATTCTCTATAGCACAAAATCAGTTTATAAATTCTGTTTCATATTCTGCAGCTTTGCAATGAGAGGTCTTGAAATACATCCTTCACTGATCTTTTGTTTACTTTTCAAACTTTAAAAAGAGGTCACTGAAAATTTTAAATATTGAAATTACGTATTTCATTTGAAATATATATAAATGTGTGTGGAGATTTGAATGTGGATACAGATAGGAATATGAAAAATAATAGTAATAAAGAGAATAGCGTGGTAGAGAAATAAATTGCTTTTCCTGTTTTGTAAAAACGATCAAGCAGTTTTTAGTTTCCCTTTATGCAGTGACAATAGGTAAAATTATTGATAAGAAAAGTAATTATACTAGTATCAGTTTTTTTTTTTTTTTTAGAATGCTGTATTGAATGGATCACACATTTCAAAGGGCATTCATATACTATAAGTTTTGTGGCCTTTTTGATATTTGGGAGAAAACCTTAAATTTTCACATTTAGAGAAGCTATTTTAATTATATTAATACTGTATTAATATTTTAGCCAGGAGTTAAAATTTAAGAATGAAGAGATAGATAAGAGGAACTGTAATGCATTGAGACATGGGGGAGAGAGTTTTAACAGATGGCAGTAGGATAGTGAGGGTAATTTCTGTAGCTTTTATTAGCTGCCATTTATTGAAGAAATGTTGTAGAGTTTGGTGTTGTAAGACAGGTTTCATATTTATAGTACTGATAAATATTTTTAGACAGTCGTCAAACCATTATACCTGTGATGGAATTGGAATCATAATAGATGGATCTCTTTCTCCTTCACAGTCAATCTCATGCACATTTTAGGAAAGCTAAAATCCTAAGTGTATACTGTATCTTTTCAGTCCACCATATACACAGGAAATATTAGTGTGACTTTGAAAAGCATCAACCTTTATGCATTATATTAATGAGAGATTGGGCAGCTGCAGACTAGCATTGCTGCATGTCAGTGCTTTTTCTCAACTGGTTGTTATCTGATTTCCGAATTTACTCCCCGTACATTCTTCATTTAATTTCTTTATTTTTCGCATGACCATTAACTACAGGAGCATGGTTTCAGTCTGTAGTTCAAGTTATTATTAATATTCTATCTAGATGGTTATCAGATATTATAAGTTCAACTAATAACTGTACTGTATTTTTAAACTGGTAAATCTTTTATAGTGTCAGTGTTTTGAAGCTTGCACAGTATTTACATTTGATATTATGGTGCATGAAATACAGTATAAATAAGGAAATATTTTATATATGCCAGTTTTCTCCAGATAAATGCAATGGTGTATTTTACTATTTGAAACTACTGAAATCAGTTTGTCATGTTTTTATAATTAACGAATTAGAAACTTTTAAGTTGTCTCGTCCACTTGAATTTGTATGCTCTAGACAACTATTTTTCTTACTCATGTGCAGCCTCATCTAATGGCACTGGTGGACTACTTACACCAGCAGGGGGCAGCAGTGGTGGAGCAGCTTTTTCACCTCCATCTTCTGGGTCAGTGAGTCCCCAGGTGATCTGCTTGGACAGCCCTGCATCATCCCCATCACCACCTCCACGTAGACCTAATCAGGGGCCATCTCCTTTACCTGCAGGAATCTCACTTACTCCTGTAGTGTCAACCTCTTCCCCTACCTTTCCCTCAGGTTCCACTGAACTACGGCAAGTCATCAATGTCACATCCAGAAGCACTCCTCCAATCACAGTCAGCAGCATCAGTACTAATAGCAGCAGTCCGATCCCACATACCAGTATATCAGCACTATCTTCATCCTCAAGTACTGCAGGAACTATATCCTCTTCCAGTACCAATGCTTCTAACTTCCTCACTCCCAATCCACAAGACCCATTAGCCACCTCACCAACATTCAATATACAGCCTACCTCTTCAGCTGCAGCTGCAGCTGCTGCTGCTGCTGTTGCTGCTGCTGGACTTAACCCAAATCCTTACTCCCTTCCACCAGCACTACAGAACCTTTTTAATCCCTTGGGAATGATGCCTCCTACTACTGTGTCTGGCAGTCTGCCATTTAGACCCCAAGACAGATATATGTAAAAGCTTAGCAAGTACAGATATGTACTAATTATTAGGTATCAAATTGGAAATTATGAAACATATCCTTCTTAGGGTATATGTACATAAAACAGTTGGGATTAGGTACTTCTGGATCAGCAATTTCTTGATAGATTTTTTTTTTTCCACAAGTGTTTCTTGTGGGAGGTAGTGTTTAGTTTGGTTGCAAAACCCATTCACCAAAGTGTCACTGTGTATTTTTAGTTAAATTTAGGAGTGCTCTTCATATAGTCTTTTGGTTATCACAAAGGACTTAATTTAGTGGTAAGTGATAGCCATTGGAAATAGAGGAAATGTTACAAGTACAAATGTATTCTGTGAGTTTGTTCCTTAACGGGATATGGTTAACACTTGTACAGTACAGTGGTGAGAGCTCGACCAATATGATCATTAGACTCAAAATTTGCAGATATTGTATTTAAGAACTTACAGCTATCTCAAAGCACTTTAACCCTTAAACAGGCAGGGGCTTCCCTTAGCTGAATAAAATTGTCTGGCATTAGCCAGAATAAATTACCTAAGGGATACTTTGTCCTCTAAAGGGCTAAACCACTTCATGTTAAATAGCTTTTAAAGTTTAAGGGTTAAGCTTTTATGATACAAGATATTTCATGGTGTAAGTGCTATTTTTTTATTTACATATATACTGTACTTTCTTTTAGGGGTTAGAAAATAGTCAAATGTTATATAAATGTTAGAAGCATAAACTGTGTGTGTGAAAACCAATCCATGAATTTTTTCTTTCTTCATAAATCCCCCAAATTAGGGGAGCACATGGTCACTGCTTTGATTCACCCATTTGTTTTTCCAGTATTAAATGTCAGACCTGTGAAGCAATTGAAGTGAAATAACACAAATACAAGGGTCCCAATTTATCATTGTTATGTTATTAAGTCACCATTGGATTAGAGAAGGTATCTATTTGGTGTCGTTTTGTTTCGTTATAGCGCCGTTGGCTGTCACATGCTACCGCATAAATACATTATGTTGCAAAGGACCAAAGGAACATTCCTGTTTCAGCTTGGCTGCAATATTATGTACATTTGTGCTTCATAAGAATATGCAGGATATTTTGCATTATGGTCAGTCTACCCCAACAGTGACTAGCACAAATAAATCCTGGAAAACAATAACCTTTGCCACCAAATTTGAGGTTTTAATCTCTTCAGTCAGAGGGACTTAGCTGGTATGTCTCTTTACACCAAGCATCTCATCAGAGGGACGGTAGGAAAAGCAGGGAGGGCGAAATTGCTCTGATAAGGCTCTTGTCTTATTTTAAGACTCTCTGATATCCTTTCCTCCTCCTCTTGTGTTGGGGGTGAGTATTGAGTTTACTGTATTTATCTGTTTTCTTGTATCCTTTTCTGAGTGGCCAGCCTGTTCTCTTTACTTGTTTGATAAGAGATTAACCGCCATATGGTAGGCTGAGGGATGGGAGCATTCACCCCCTCTGATATAGTGTTTGATGACCATATCAGCCCCTCTAAGCAAAGGGGTTAGGCAGCTTGATGCTGTTGAGAGTTGTTCACATTGGTGTCATTCCAGGTTTACCACACACCAAGATAAGAGCTATTCAAGGTAATGCTGAGAAGATTAGCATCAGTTTTCCATGTGTTACAGCCATTAGTACCAAGAATATTAAAAGGTCCCAACATCAATTAATGAAGAATATGTAAAATCTACTCAGTCTGGATGGATGACCAGAACCAGTGTACAGTAGTATACCCCTTAGTCTGGCTGTGACATGAGCTAAGGCACCATACAACCAGTCATTATCACCCCCTTATTCGGATAATGGGAAAATTTATTTGTTTAGTGTTGTTATGTTTTAAAGTTTTTCTTTTCAGGAATACATATTCATGAGACAAGGCAGTACACAGTAAATTCTAGATGGTGAAGCTCAAAAATAGGGTTCAGGTATCAACAAGTCTTTCCTTCAGGGAGCATCAGCCAGTTTCACCAGTCATTTGATATAAGGATCATATAAAGAAAACCCCCAACACTTCTTTTTTCAAGTACTTGTATATTGAACCTGTTGTCTGTCAAAGTGCCCTGAAAACAAACTTGAGATTTACTGTTGTTTTACAACTGGTGAAGTAGTTATGAATTTTACCAAAGATATTCCCAAAGTTTAGATTGTTAAAATTTACATTTGCCATCAGCATGGCTCAATAAAGAGATTGCATACCTTTGGACCCAACCATGTCTCAAGTGAAGGTGGAAGGATCAGATTCCCAGGTTACAAGTGGTACACAACATGATTTTAACGAGACCACTGTTAACCTACCTCTTTGCTGGAACACAAAGAATACTACACAGAACATATGGGTAATTCAAAAGAGGAAAAATTCATAACTATTTCTTGACAATATGCAATAATGGTGAGCACACTTGCCAATAACATCCATTGCATATAATTTTTCAAAGTGTGGTCAAATGCAATTGATGTTATTGGCAAGTGTGCCCACCATTATTGGATGTTCTCAAGAAAAGAAACAGTTTAAGACTTTTTTCTCTTTTGAATTACCTTAATTTATTAATAGTTGTCTTCATTCTTTGGAAGTGTTAATTGTCTGCTACTCAGCTTTTTTTCTGTTCTTACAATTAACATTGTAAGAATTTAGCATATTACCATATTTTGTGGCATATAAGACTCACTTCTTTTATTCTGGAAAATGGCTTTAAAAATCGGTCTGCATCCTATATGTGAAGTTGCGGTCTTCCGTAGGCTAGTGAATCCCCCCAGTAGCAGTCTCCAATAGGCTAAATTCTACCTAACCCAACTCCAGAATTAAAAATATGTTATTGCTTACTTAAACACACAATTATTTTTTAATTAATTAAAAAAATAATTATTATTAATGTAAAACCTGGATTTAAAGCTACTGTACTGATGATAATAACCTGAGATGATTAATATCCAAATGGCAGACACCCAACTCTTCAGAGGTAGCTAAGCAGTAACCATTTCTGAACTTTTACAAGCATTACTACAAGGTATCTGCAGTGTTAATGTCATACCTGCAACTTTATTTTTAAATCTTCAAAAACCAAATACAGAAATAAAGGCTTACAGATAACTTTCTTTTCATATTTGTGTCTGTTAACATTGCTGGCGGCATTGTAGCCAAGTTAGACTCGTCACTGTCACCACCAGGCTATTAGGCCAAGCTGTGAGGTCTTATGGTTGTTTTTCAATTCATATTTTTGGGTAGACATACATAACTTTCTTCATTTATTTTTACTCAGTTACATGGACACACCATCCTACATACAAAATGTGAAAAAGGTTAAAAAAAACACTTGTCATAAGGGGAAACACACAAAGGAAATATACATTTCTTTGCACACGAGTTAGCTGGCTCGGAGCGGGAGAAGGTAGCTGAGTGTGGGGGGGTAGGTGCATTGCTAGGGAGTCAACGGAGGTAGTGTCCCTGCTGGTCTGCATTGCTGTGGTGAAGCAGGAAGTGTATGCAAATAGCGATTGTGTTAAATTTTCATTTGGCTTTTATTTATTGCTTTGGCAATACAGTAAGTTCTCGCTTAACGTCAGGCTGCTTAACTTTGTTTCGGTACTACGTTGCTAAACTTTAGAGACCCAAAATTCTTTTGACGTCCTTGTGACTCGGTACAACGTTGTTTGAGTCGTCATGGACTTCTTTTACCTTCTTCACAATATGTATTTAGGATGGTGTGTGCATGTAAATGAGTAAAAATAAATTTAGAAGGTTATTATATCTCGCCAATAACGTCTAATAGGTGCCTGAAAAATGCCGTTATTAGCGAAAAAGTTATTTGTGTGACATTAAAATACAGTACATGTAAAAAAGGTTTATTGGTGCCGCCGCCCCAAGAATTTCACCCATTTTTTCTCCTTTGACGCCCTCCTAACACTTTTTGTTAGCTGAAATAAAAAGAATTGTTATTCAATCATCAAAATAAAGAATTTGAGTAATATAACACTTAGCTTGGGGGAGTTTTTGAGGTGCTTGGTGTGATGATTGTTCTGAGGCTGGGGCATGGAGGCTACTGCGTCGAACCTCCGCCCACTTCCCTGGCCCCATCTCCGTCCCTATCCCCACGCTGGCCTCTCGCACCCGGTTCACCCACTTCCGCTAACACTTCATCAAACCCCGCAAAGTCAAATTCTTCAGGCATTTCCCCAATGTCATCAATGTCTTCATCAACTTCAACCTCTCTCTGTTGGTCTTCCTCGGCTGGCTGGCGTTGTGAAAGAAAGCGAGTGATGAGTGACTGCTGCCGGGCATTCACTCGCTCGTTGTACTGCCTCTGGTATTTTCTTGAAATAGATTCTGTAAATCCAATCATTTGCTCCCTTTCACCTGAGTCACTCTCAATGTCTTGGATCATCTCTTGAAGGCTGGTACAGACACCCAATAAGAGTGACAGCTTCTGTGTCGTCACTTTCCTCTGCTCAGTCTCCCCTACATCACTCGCTGCATCACCACTCTCACCACCTTCTTCATCCTCCTGGAGATCCTCGACGTCATTTGTGTTACGTTACCTTCTTGCATCAGTTTCTCTAAATCTTCCCGAGTCACTTCTTGAAATCCTGGGGCTGGGATACTGCAGATGGTTTCCAACACTTGGTTCATTAACTCTGCTGGCCGCTGTCTCTTCGTTTCGGCTGACTTGAGTTGTGGCAGGAGTGCCGACCAGGCATGCCTAACGGTTGCTTTTGTAGTATTTCCCCAGGCTTTTACAAAGAAATTTACTGCCTGGCGAATGTTATAATTTTTCCAGAAGGCAGTAACAGTCACTGTGGAGGTTGAAGGTATGCCAGGGGTTGCAGGTGGAGGAGTGGAGGCGGAGGCTGTGGGTGAGCCAGGCAGAGCAGCGGAGGCGGCGAAGGGAGGATCCTCCTCCTCCTCCTCCTCGCTACTGCTCACAGATTCAGCAATTTCCTTCACTTCTTCTTGCTTATCAGTTTCCTTCCTCATCTTGTCATGGACATGTTTGTAGTACAGCAACTTTACATTAGCTATGATTTCTTGGGCTAGTGGCTGTATTTTGGAGGTTGTATTTGGTGGTAGAAACACAACCTCGACGCTAGGGTGACGTCCCACTAGAAATCGGCATGACTGGGGGCATTGTCTAGAAAGAGCACCACTTTGAAGGCTACATTCTTCTTCTGGCAGTATTTTTTGGCATCCTTAACAAAACAATCATCAAATCACTTCTTTGATAACTCCGTGAACATGTAGCCTTTATTTGTCTTTTCCCAGTAGACATTCAGTTTGGACATATCACATCCCTTGTAAGATCTTGGTCTTTTATATTTGTAGATCACCAGAGGCTTCATGAGGTAGTCACTTGAAGCATTACAGGTTAGGAGGACACTAAAGCAATCCTATGCCATTTTCACACCTTTTGCCTGTTTTTCTTTCTTAGAGATAAATGTTGCTTTGGGAAATTTTTTCCAAAACAACCCGGTCTCGTCACAGTTAAAAATCTGATCCAGGGTGTAACTTCCCTCTTGAATGATTTGATTGGCAATTTCAGGGAAGGTATCTGCAGCCACTATGTCAGCAGACGAAGCCTCACCCTGATACTTTGCATACTTTGTGCCACTTCTAGCCTTAAACTTATGCAGCCACCCTACTGAGGCATCGAAAGGAGGGGGAGACTTAATGTTTTTATTTCCAGCTACAGCAGCATACAATACCCTTGCTTGATCTCGTATCTGAGGGCCGCTAACACTTGAACTGTCTTTCATTCTACAGTAAAAGTCCAAAAATCCGGATGCCAGAAATCCGGACCACCCGAGAATCCGGACTTTTCAAAAACGATTTTTTTTTTTAGCGGGCATTTGTGTGCATGTGCGCATGCGTGAGCGCCACAGCTGCACAGCGACAACAAGCGACCACGTGGTCGCCACTTTAAAATGGGCAATCAAACTGTGACAACATACCGTATATACTCGTCTATAACCCCCCCTCGTTATCAGTCGACCCTGATTTTTTGACCAAGAAATCGTTAATTTATGATATTCCTCGTTTATAGTTCCACCCACGTTTTTGAGGGTAATGGAACAACAAAACCACTAAAAACGCTCTACGTCCTATAAACTGAGGCTCGCCGTGCATGAAACACAAGTGCTGAAGGCAAATTGTTTACCATTTATTATTACGACACTTTACACTGAAACCTGGGTAGTTTCAACAAAAATATTGTATATTTCCATTCAAGTATTTATTCAAGTCAATTAGGAGGGAATATTATTGAAATACAACAGTTTTTAAACTAAACCATTCGAAAAGCGATTACGGTAACATCTTTTGAACGAAAGAAAGCGAAAGTCATTGTTTTCGTCATGATTTTATCCCACTTTCCACTGTAATACGTATGTAATTTCAGGAAAAATATTACATTTCCGTGAATGTATTATATCAAGCACAGTATGAATAGAATATCATTGTAATATATCAGAATTTTAACCGAAAACTATTAAAAAAACGAGTAACATCTCAAGAACATCGGAAGCTTAGGTAAAGTCTTTTGTTTTCGTCATGTATTCTATCCTATTTTACATTGAAATACGTCACGTTTCCACAAAACTACTATTTATCTCCGAGAATATATTCATTCAGGCGCAGTTTAGGTAAAATAGATGAGTGATGTAATAGTTTTTTAACTGAAAACGATTCGAAAAACACGTACCCTCTAGCCCTGTTCAAAGAGAGGACTGGGAGAAGCTGTTTGGTGCTGCAGACGATGACAAGGAAAATGATTTTGATGGATTTTAATGAAAATATTCAGAAATATGGTATTGTAGTATTTATTCAAGTCAATTAGGATAGAATATTATTGTAATACAACAGTTTTTGAACTGAAAACCATTCGAAAAGCGATTACGGTCACATCTTTTGAACGAAAGAAAGCGAAAGTCATTGTTTTCATCACGATTTTATCCCACTTTCCACTGTAATACGTACGTTCAGCAAAAATATTACATTTCCGTGAATGCATTATATCAAGCACAGTATGAATAGAATACCATTGTAATATAACAATATTTTGAGTCCTACTCTTTCCATTTACAGAGTACTGTACAAGCCCATAATAATGGCTCCTAAAGTAGATAAACTTCGTTGTGTGAATAGAAAGAAGAACACATTGAAATTGAGTGACAAACTTGAAATAATTAAGAAACTAGATCGTGGTGTGAGCAATACTGTTCTAATGGAAACATACGACATTGGAAAGTCTACAATTTATGATATATAAAAGGCAAACAATAAAATTTAGATTTCACAGTTTTTTCATTAAAACTGCTCGTTTTGATAAATGAAGCATGCTATATTTGCAAATGAATAAACTATCAAAATGTACCTGTTCATTTCTTCTTTATTCTTCATTAAATTTGAATTTTAAAAGTACTGCCTGAGAATCCGGAAAATCCGACATTCCGGACCGGCCCAATCCCCAAGCAGTCCGGATTTTTGGACTTCTACTGTACAAGCTAACCATTTCACAATAAAATGCTCTGTTATCACTAACAACCTGTTTCTATCACTTTTATCATTCATAGCTCGCCTCGCATTTCCATCACTACCGAAATATTTCTAAGCCAGCGCAATACTCTTCTTGGTATCCTCTAAGTTCCTCTTAATATTTCGCACTGTAGACTCAGGACAGTTCAATTTCCTCACAATATCAATGTTCCGTGCACCACTTTCAATGAGCTCAACAATCTGTTCTTTATCCTTGACCGAGTAGGCACACTTCTTGTGGCTTTGTCTCTTAGCTTTGGGGTCTTTTTTTCTCATTCACTTTAAAAGTTCCCGGGCATTCAGGCGGCAAATCACCCCCTCCACCACCTCCCCTAGCCCCCACAGGCAAAAACGCTGAAGCCATTATTGGCCACCGACCCTAGCAACCACTGGTTATAGAGGCGAAAATGTCACACGTGGGCGCAGCGCTGTATTCCACGGAGCGTGTGTGAGAGTGAGGCGGAGTGGACAACTACATCGTCAACATGGCGGCAAACAAACGCTATCATTGATGCGCTCGGATGCTTCCCGCGAAATCTCCGTTATTCAAGAGAATCCAGACGTAATTTTCGAAAATGGGTATCTATTGTAACTTACCATTATTGTCGAAAACGTTATTGTTGAAGTCGTTATTGGCGAGAACCCACTGTACAGTACTTAAATTTTTATCTCTTTGCAAAATTTATGATGTCTATATTCATATTATTCGCTGTCCTGCAAGGATTCCAGAAACGTAATTTATATTCTTTTATAAGAATTTTTTTTTTTAGCCTAAACCACCTTCAATCTTTCTGGAAGTGTGTAGAGGGAGGCGATGTATTATGACTGCTGGCGCCAGACCGCCGGCCAACCAAGGTTACTTAGTGGTATTCATTTATCTGTCATGTAGAGGAGTTTTGAGTTTTTCTCTTCTAAAATCTCAATGAATGTGACTTATAGTACAGTAATGCATACAAGCACCTCACCAGGCATCACGCAAGGAGTTTTGAATTTATGTATATGTAATGTATTTCATGGGGCAAAGGGAGGCTCAGGAACGTAACTCCCATATTTTATGCATGTTTTGTATAACATCGTGTTTTCAGGAACATAACCCCGACGTTAATCGAGGACTTACTGTACAGTATTTTTTGTTTAACTTATTTACTGGTATTATTTTTATTTATTCCTCACATTTACTGGTAGTGAATATTATTTTAAGAAAACTATGGCTGTAGGAGGAAAATACACACACTAGTTTTTTTCCTAAATACTCCCTGCTGGAATGGGGTGAGTCTTATATGGCTGTGCATCTTATAAGCTGTAAAATACAGTATTTGTGAAAAGATACCTTTTATATTTCACAATAATTACTGAACCAGTTACATAAGATAAGTGTGCATTTGCTGCTTTTTGACAAAGTAGAAATGCCTGGTACAGTTACCTCCACATAAATGTACCACAGACTGGGAATGTGTGAGGGCTCGGGTATGAGATATGGTAACGCAGCTCTGAAGTCGGGGCTGAATGAGTGAGCTAGAAACAGTGAAATTACCCAATTTGTGCGGCTACACATCAATACTGAAGTACAGTATACTTATTACATGGATTTATTTGTTTATGTTACGCAGCACTGTTGTGTAGCCATGGCTGAGTGACTAGGATTGAACTACTGGGACCCAGCAAACAGGGTAATACCCATGATTATGGTGCTGCGTTGCCACATCTCGTATCTATATCTTCACGCTGTTTCAGATCGTGGTTCAGTCATGTGGCAGCAACTGTACATGTTATGAGTCATCAAGGTCTTTTTGAGTCATGGTCATATTTTTAACTTATACTGTATATCTAATTCCCTCTACTGTACAAGTATTAATTATTGTAATTGAATATGTATATATATATACTGTATATTGTATTTAATCAAACCTGAAACATTATTTTAAGTAATATTGTTAATAAATATGTCTTCTTCCATGTGTTCATATCCTGTACAATATACACATGTAAGAATGTCATTTGTCAGAGAGAGATCACACACATATGGTTCAGCACCAACTCTTGTAAGGATATTTTATGATTGTCAGTACTGTACTGAGTTAAGACATAATGACTGCACTATGAAATAGGAGGAATTAAATCAGAAAGACACAGGAACACAATGATTTCTGGAGGATTAAAGTTACTCAGTAATGTTTTTACATGTATGTCTTGTAGTAATATTGTATTTCACTTTTCCAGTTACTTTAGATCATGTAATAACTTAAAATAGGCTTTATTTATCGAAAAGGACAAAACAGAATCATGACCCATGATCTTCCCCTGTGTTGGGCCTGTATTCTTGCCTGTTGTCTGTCCATAACACTTCCCTGCATGGCCAATATAGAAAATTGTACTATATTTTCACAGTTGCACAATTGATGTGCCATTTTATCTGCGAGCTGTGGATGAAAGGCGATGATAGGTTATGTATTGGTGTAAGTGCAGTAACATTCCTAATGCTGACTCTGATCATTGTAATGGTAAGTTTCCATTATGGAAGTCAGGTCAGTGTTTTTAATTCTTATGTTGACATAAAAGCACATACAGTTCGTACAATTGTATGATATGCAAAACCACATATAATTTCTGATCATGTGTTGGCCTGTTTCCATTCTAGTTAAGTATATGAATTCTGTGTAAGTCCGTTATAGGATAAGCACATATAGTAAACCGGGTATTATATTCCATTCAGTTTGTCACGTACTGTATTTTAATTTTACATTGACAATTTCTTGGACTCAAGTTATCCCCTTTATAACATCATCATAGTAACTAGTGTATCTGAACAAAGATTGAAGAAATTTTATCACAAAAAGTAAAGTAGGACACGATCTCTACTTCTTTGAAAATTATAACTTGGATATTACGATCTGACAAGTTGTAACAATGGTGAAATTTTTAATAAACAGTTTGTTAATTGGAATGTCTCTCACTTGAACCATCATATTGTATAGATAATTATGCATGACATTTGATATATGTTGTACAGTGACCCCTACAAAATTTCCAACTTGTACACAGATCCATGTACAGTACTGTACTGTATACTTGTAACTCAAACAGGCAATTTTGGGGGAAAAGATGTGCTGCTAGATCTTGTGAACTGACAGGTAGATATTTGGTGTCTTATTGAGGAAGGGAAATACTAATGCATGAATGACAATTTATGAAGAGAGAATGTGAGGCACAAATGCTAGACTAGCGGCTCTTAATCTTTTCAGCATTGTGCCCCCTTTAATAGTTGGTCCTCATCTTGACGCCCCCCTCCTTCTTCCAACCAATAAAAAAAAAATCCTTCTAAAGGACCGATATTAAAAAGGATAATTAAAAAATGTGTGCGTGTTTTTTACTCGTATTATTATGCAAAGAAATCTGTAGAGTATAATCAACCCGCAAATACACGACACATTTAATGAGGTACTTGTTACTGCTTCTTAGCTACCAGATCCTGAATGCATGGCCATGTGCCAGAAAGAGCACAACGCAGGACCCCTTCAACATTCAGCTTGTTTCTGTATTGGTCTTGACAGCGACGAGCACGGAAAATGTAGCCTCACAAAGATACTTGGATCCGAACTTAGTCAGAATTCGAACAGCTTGACGTGAGATCGGGGTAAACGGAGGTACTTGACCCAGAACATCTCTAGATCCAGATTTTCGAAGGCGTCCTCAGCCGAGGAGTTGAACTTCATTTCATGGAAAGGAATTCCTCCTGGACTTCATCCGAAACATCAGCTACATCTTAGTGGAATGGGTTCCTGTGAATTTCCAGGCCTTGCACTTTTTATCTATATCCGGAAAGTAGTGGATGAATTCTAATTTCAACGCAGTTACAGTAGATGAGCGATTACCTGTTATTTTTTTATTTGGAATCGAGCTGACTATGTTGGAGAGCGGAATCCAAGTTTGCAAAACTGACTGTTTCTATCCTCAATTCGACATTTCCAGAGGTCGAGTTTGGCCAAGAAGGCTCGAACGGCGTCGTACTGCATTACGTTGTTGATGTTCTTCCCTTGCAGTTTTAGGTTGATGGCCTTCAGTGCTTCGAAGATGTCCACAAAGTAAGCTAAAGCCGGCTGAAATTCTTCAAAATGGAATTTCTCGTGGAATTTTGTTTTTTTGCTGCAACTCTAGAAATGTTTCCACTTCTTCTCGCAGTTCGTAAAGCCACCCAAGCATGTTTCCCTTTGAAAACCATCGTACATTTGTATGGGAAAGCAAGGCTTGATGGTCAGATTCCATGTCTTTACACAGTTGTTTGATAATGCGACTGTTTAAGGCTCCAGCTTTGATGAAGTTAACTACCTTGATGGTCAGGTTTAGGACATCCCTCATTTCAGCAGGTAGAGTTTTGGATGCTAAGGCATCACAATGAATGACACAGTGCGTACCAATAGCAGAGGGATTTCTTTCTTTCACCTTAATGAAACCCGATTGTGAACCAACCATGGCAGGAGCTACGTCTGTACAAACCCCATCCAGCAAGTCTCACGAAAGTTGATTTTCCTCGAAGTTCGATACCAAGTTGGAATAAATCTATTGCTGTCATAGAAGTTTCCAGGGAATGACAGAACAGCATTTCCTCTTTGATGCTGTTGTCTGACATGAAACGAGCATACATCAGCAGTAACACCGAGCAGTGTCAGTCATTTTGTCACACTTGATGGCAAAGACAGGAGAGGCCCTTATCTGGTCAATAACTTGATCTTTGATATCTTGAGACATGTCATCGATCGTCCCCTTGATGGTGTTGTTTGATAGATATGCGAGAGCTTGTTCGCACTATCCTTCCCCAGCATGAGCTCTGCTGCCCACAATAGACTCGGTTTTATGAGTCTCTCCGATGGTATGGCTCTTCTTGTTCTTTGCTATCAACAGAGCAATCTCGTAGGAAGCCTCAACAATCTTTGGAGTCTAATGTCGAAAAGCTCCACTGCTGTCCATCTTAGTTCACTTCAAGGACCCCTTTCTTGCCTCAAAGAACGCCTTAGGTTTGTTGGCCAATTCAGGATGGGTTGTCGTCAGGTGACATTCCAAGCTTGTGGGCCTCATGCCATCATTACTCAGAGTCTTGTAGGATATCACACATGTCCCTTTTGGAGGGACACGAATCCAAACTGAATGTAATCGTCAAGGTACTTCCGTTTTTTCGCACTCATTCCGAATGACTTGGTTTGCAGTGGCTGCCTCAAATCTGGTGGAAGGTAAAGAAGACGTGCAAGTCGAGATTTGAATATGACATTAAAAGACCAAACATTCAATTTCCATTAAATACTGTGAAAGCAAAAACATCACATGATAAACACCACCACATGGTCAAGAACACTACCATATGGTCATAAATTATATTCGACAGTCAAAACTTGTAAACGTCAGTCAGAGCAGCCCATGCGTGTTCACAATTCCCTTTTGATTTGGCAAATTTCATTCTCGTTATGAAAAATGAAACACTTTGCATTGTTTTCACTTTACTTGAGCAATTATCATTATTGTTAACTTCAGTTAAACATATCTACTACGCTAAAACATACCTCAACTGAAGAAAGGAATGCGTGAGTGTGAGGGGATGTTGTCACGGGTGAGAGTGGCGGGCGACTGACACTGACACGAAGCCATTGCAGTTTGGAATTTTTAAATTAAATGCAAAATGGAAGGACACACTTGTGTATTGGCAGGTAACGGGAGACAGAATCTATTCCAAACCTAAACAGTTCTTGTTCAGACAATTCCATATTTTTTTTTCCTCCCCCCCGTTAAGAACCGCTGATTTAGACAATATGTCTTGATTGGCTTAGTAATTTTGCGGGCTGAGAGTGTACAGTATTTACATTACCCATGTAAAATGTACTTTTTGAATGATTTTCAGTCTGCTGTCTTAACACACATGTATGTTCAGGAAGATTTTATTTATTTTTTTCCCTGAATGGTTTCAACAAGTAATAAATGTGTGTTAAAACTTGGGTTAATTTTTACCACAACTGTGCACATAGATGGGTACATCATTCTATGACCTTTACTAACCTTAAGCTAGTACAGTACGTCCAAACTAGTATCAGGCAAAATTGTATCCTTCTAATATATATCTTTCAAGAAATGCATATTAAATTTGGTCATCTTGACTGGTAGCGATCGGACAAAATTTGGCCTGTACCTGATGGACTACCTGTACAGTATACTGTACTTTACCAGTAAATTTTGATCATGTGAGGAATAGACAAATATAATACCTTGTGGTTATCAGCATAATACCAATAAAAAAAAAATAAAAAAAACACTGTATTGCCATTTGGCTGCTGGACGAAGAAATTTGTCAATTGTTTCACTACACACAGGAGACAGTTCAGAACAGTCGAGATCCCTCATACCCCCCTCAACCACTCGGCATGAACTCTTGACACGTGAAGAAAGTTAATTCCCTTTTATGTTTTTGACCTTATGATAATTTTTTCTTCACATTCTGTATGTAAGATTGTGTGTATGTAACTGAGTAAAAGAAAAATGAAAAGTTACATAAACTACCTGAAATAATGAGTTGAAAAGTAACCACAGCATACTCACAACTCGTTAAGGTTAGCCTACAGCAAGCATGTCCCGGGTAGCTATAGTTCACTGTAAGTGACCCACAGAAATTCGTGAATTTTAACCCCTCAAAGTTATTATGCGTATATTGTTAGCCGCCTTACTTTTTGCATAAAAACTCCAATTGTACTCAAGTATATATGATAAATAAAGATAAAGATAGAAGCACTGACCACTAGAAGCAAGCTGTGGCTACAATGTTATTGAGTATCGCAGCAACAGTGATGCCGCACTGGACAGCGAGCCAAGTGACGGTTTCACAAATTATAACCAAAGCTGCCAGATACAAATACAGTACAGTAGGATCTCAAATTTAGCGAGTTTTAGATTCGCAATTCATATTTTTCGTGTCACTTTTAAAATTTCCAGCCTCTCACGAATAGCGATTTTCATTACCAGTTTTGCGAGTCATTGGAGAGTGGGCAGCATGCATTGTCAAGGTCTTTTGTTATCTGTCGACCCGCTGAGTGTACAGTATTTTGTTTACGGCAGTTAGTTTGAAAGAGCGAGCAGTGCAGTTACCTTGGATTATATAACCCATTGTTCTTACGTTTCGTGAGATTCTTGTTTAACGATTAACAATTCTGGTGCATTAGCAATTCTTGTGTATTAGCGATTCTTGTGTATTAACGATGAGTGAAGTGCATAACGTAAATGTCGGGAGCGGTTCTGGTGATAATGATGGCCATAGAGAAGGTCAACAAGGAAAACCCCAAGCCAACGTGACTACCGTAAGGGGGTCAAGAAGAGGAAATACACCCTTGAAATGAAACGAGAGATGCTTGAAATGATCAAAAGTGGTGCTCGTACCCGTGAAATCATGTGTAGGTTTATCTGCCCCAAATCAATCATACGTTCCCTTAAGAAAAACAAGGAAGCCTTAACTGCTTCTGTGTATGTATTCTCAAGATTTTCTAGTAACAGGACGTTCTCAGATACTTCACAACGAAACCTACTGCTTGTTATCACAGAACATTACCTTCACAAGTGGGTGGAAAGAAGAACGTGAGCAAGGCGACCTGTCTGGGTCACAGATAAGACATCAAGCACGTGTTTATTATGCTGCAGTTGTACAGAAGAAACGCGTTAACTCTACACCACCGTTCAATGCCTCTGTTGGTAGGTTGGCTACCTTTAAGAAGTGTTATGAAGTCAAGTTTGCCCACTACAATGGGGAGAGTGCATCGGCTGATGTCATAGTAGCAGAAAAATATCTACCTGTCTTTCAAGCTCTTGTGAAAGAGGGTGGTCATTGCCAAGACCAGATCTTCAATTGTGAGGAAACGGGCATTTTCTGGAAGCGCTCACCTAAGACCACCTTCATTGCCAATGATGAAAAACAAGCAAGGGGTGTAAAGACTTCAAAGGACAGGATTACAGTTTTATTCACAGTTAATGCAAGCGGAAATTTCTTGATGAAACCCCTGGTTGTTAACCGTGCTGCCCATCCTAGAGCCTACTGTCATGCCAATATGTCGCAGCTCAATGTTTATTGGACGTTTAATAAGAAAGCTTGGGTTACAGAGTCTCTTTGCACCAATTGATTTGATAAGCACTTTGTTCCTGATGCCCAACAGTACTGCCGGTGGAAGAACATTGACTTCAATGTGATCGTGGTGATGGATAATGCTCCTGAACACACTTAGGTTTCTAATTGGACGCCACCCTAATGTACAGGTTATCTTCCTGCTTACACCACATCGCTTCTGCAGCCATTTGACCACGAATTCATCAGTAATGTTAAACTGTTCTACTAACAGTCTCACTATAAATACTTTCGTCAGCAGACAGACTCATTACTTGAGTTACAACAAGTCGAGCCAGAACTCTGACAGTGACCAGGCTCTACCAGCTAACCAGGAGGAGGAGAAGATGGCAGACGACCAAACTCCTACCACCTCACCATCCCGCAACCGTGAAGTGTTATCAGTTTGTGAATTTTGTTAGAAATATAATATTAAAAATGCAGTGGACAAACTTTTTGAGGCATGGTGTAAGGTTAATGTTGCAACAGTGCTACATGCATGGAAGCCTTTGTTCGTTAACTCAGGGGGAGTGGGGCAGAGCAGACCGAGGCAAGCGGGGAGAGGCAGTCCGTGGCGGCAACACAAATGGACACAGTGGAGGCAGCGTGGTCAGTCCCAGCACTGGGAATTTCGGATGTTCAGGTTGAAGATTTGCAAGGAATCGTTGGTCAACATCAGCAGCAACCGACAATTGAAGAAATGTTGAAGGAGGATGAAGAACAAGAAGAACAGCAACCAACACAAGCCTGGTGAACCTACAACAGGCCAGCTGACTGAGTTGCTCACAACCATCACATGTCTCAGTGAACAGCTAGAAGAAAACAATACCAGGCCTAATCCTCGGAACCTTATCGCTACTGCCCTTGATAAGGTTATGGAGGAATATAAGGCCTTGTACATGTCCCGTGTTAATGCTCGTCAGCAGGCCCTTATTACTCGGTACCTGTGCAAGGCCCAGCCTGTTAATGCCTTGGCAAACATCGCTTTAGATGATGGCATCACTGATGATGTTATTGAAGTGTTGGGTGACATATTGGTGGAAGAGCTACCTCAATACTTTGAGAGATTTGTTGCTGAGGTTAGAGGAGGTGTAGAGGATGGAGCAGGGAGGAGGCAGTAACCAGCCCTCCCTGCCTTGGAACCCATCAACCAGCCCTGTTAGGCATTTCACTGACTCCATCAAAGTAAGTTATTCTACAGTATGAGTGTATATAAATACAGATACTCCTCGACTTACGACCTACTCGACATACGACCACCCGCACATACGACCACCGCAGTCGGTACCAAAATTTTTTCAAATAACGCGCGTATTTTCTAGGAACGAAACATTTCCATCCCGGACGAGAGCGTCGCGTGGGCTGGGTCGTCTCATGGCATACAGCATCCACACCATAGAGCGCTCAGTTGGTGTTTGGCTGTCATTGTTGTCGGTAGTGATCTCGCTGTGTACTGACAATATTTTCGTTTCTAATTCACTTTAGAATAACTGGCAAGCGTAAAAGCGAGAGTTCTG